GTATATGCATGCATATTGTAATAAGGAAATCATGGTTTTGTCAATTATAAATGGTTTTTTGTGTCTCAGGAGAGATTATAATGTGCAGACATCGAACAGAAAGAAATATTTGACTTTTTTCTATGAACAATAAAAACTCAACATGAACATTAAAAGTACAGTGATATGCGCTTTAATTTACTGTTCAATTAATGAGACAAACCGGACGGTTCTACCCCTCCAGTGTCCGCACAGAATGATTCATCCTATTTTAATCTTTTACTTTTGTTTATCAATGCGACTCATATTTCTCATATTGTTCGACCAATTTATAATCTCTGCTAATTATTGAGGTCTTGAACCAACAACATTTTATTGAATTTTCTCGTGATATTATAAAGATAAGTAAGAATATCATGTTAAAGAAGAATTATCTTTAGGGGTTGTTCAGTCAACTCAATATTTATGAATTGTTTGGAACCACTTGAAAGGCTATGATGAATATAGGAGGAGATTGTCTCTATAGCTAGCCTAGATTTTTTATGTATCGTTTATGTTTTATCTTTCTTATTAGTGTGGAGGAAGAAGGATATTACAAATCCCAAAGCATTTCTTAATTTTATGAAATAAAAAAAAAAGTTTAAAATATTCTGAAAAAACTAATCACAATGAAAATTAATATGATCACCATCAATTTGAACTTAGAAGAAAAAACATACTGAAAAAGACTATTCAAATACTAGAGCTAAATAGCTAAAATATGTTTATCTGGACTTTAGTGCAGAAATCCTATCCTCATTGTTGATGAGATTTGTCAAAGGATTATGTGTTTGGTTGTTCTGCTTAAAAAGATATGTATTATAAAAGAACTATAGTATATAATAAAGATAGTGTCTTGAAAAAATATTTAAGCGGTTTTGTTAAATATTTTATAAATTGAAGAGTATTTTTTTTTTTAAATGAGGTAAAAGATACTAGTTGTGCATTGAACTAAAAGTTGATGGGAGGTGATTGATGATTGTTGATGGTGGTAATGGTGATTGGTGGCGATGATCGTTGTTGATTATGGGTGGTTGGAGATACTGACAGTAGGCGATGATGGATAGACAGAGGTAGCACACGGTGGCCGGTGGTGCCAACTGACATTAGTTGACATAAGTTGTGCATTTGAAATTTGCTCAAATAGGGTAGATTCAAATACATTAATGAAAATCACTTTTTTAAAAAAATGACTTTGCATTTTCCTAAACAAATTATCCTACCAACTGAGATATTTTTGAAAACTCTGATCATCTTTACTTGCCCCAAAAAATGTAGGTGATCAAACAAGCCCCTGATAACAAACAATTAACCTTTTATGGAGATGTGTAGAAAGCTTGAGATAAACTTATCCTTCTACTTCTTTCTAAAAAAAAGCTGTCATAATTGACACTAA